GGAAGCCATCCTGGACGGGGTGGGGGTGGGGGGGAGGGCTGGGGAGGAAAATGTCTGCCTTGGCTGTCCCAGCGCCATCTGTCCTCGTGGCTCCAGCATCAGCGGGATCCTTTCCCTTTCGGGCAGTAACGAAAGAATCCCAAATCCGTTCCAGAGGTCAGCCGTGTCGGCCGGCCGTAGAGGAGCTCAACGTGAGTCCAGAAGCTCCTTCGAGACCCAGCAAGATTCCCAGGGTCTCAGCTTTTGAGACGGAACTCCCTTTGTCCTGATTCTGGAGATGGAAGACGCTGTAGACCACTTTGAGCCCCCAGATTTGAGGGGTAGGAGCTCTCGACAGCCAAAGCTCCGTCCATCAGATGCCCAAGTCTGCGAGAAGCGTGAAGAACTTCCTTGGAGTGCAATCGGCCGGTCAGTCCAACCGGCCTTCGTTTGACCGTGCCGAACTCCACAGTCGTAGGAGTGCTTCACTGCTTAGGGTCCCCCACCAGGGCTGAGCTGGGGAGAAACGAGGTGCCCAGAAACAGAAGCGCCCCAGAGTGGATCTGCAGGCCCAGGCGAGGAGCTTGCTTTTTGAAAAAGCGTCACACGGTTTTATTTGCCGCCCGCCAGATCATGCCAAGGACTCGAAGGGAACATCTGGCGTCTCTCTCTCACAGCCCACTTCTGCCCTCCCCCAGAGCCAGCTTGGTGTAGTTGTAATGATTCCATATTTTGGTGTGTGTGTTTCTTTAAATGTTTAGTGTGACTGCAGTAATGTAAGGATAGAGGGAGAGGAGTGTGATGTGATTGGCTGATGACTGAGGGTGTGGGAGGAGGGGTGTCTCTGAGGGGATTCTGTGTTCTCAAAGAGACAAGTGTGGAGAGTTGGTGTGAGAGTCTGTATGACAGAGGAAGCAGTTGGAGTTTAGCCTGTGTGGCTATATGAGCAAGAGAGTTTAGCCTGTGTGGCTATATATGACAGAGAAAGATCAGCCTGTCAGTGTTGAGTTTTGGTGTTTGAGGGACTGTGTGTGATGCCGAGCTTTGTCAGTTATATTTCCTTTCTTCAAAAACAGTTCAAAAATACCCAGAAACCTATTTTGTTCTTTTATAAATAATTATTTGTTTTAAGCTTATCCCAGCAATCTGAACCAGTCCTTTCTCAGGGCCACATAGTCCTCTGAAGCGCCCAGACACTGGGTCATTCTACCAAAATAGAGAGATTTGGGATTTTTAATTCCTGGTGGCAGCAGAAATCTACGAAGTTCATGTACACAGAGTGTATTTTAAAGGAGAAACAGTCTCCCCATTAAGCGAGGATACCACAGTAGTAGTTAGGGAGTGCGAACTCTAAGCTGGGAGAACCAGGTTTGATTCCCCACTCCTCCTCCACGTGCAGCCAGCTGGGTGACCTTGGGTTAGTCACAAGTTCTCTCACAGCTGTTGTCTCAAGGGCAGTTCTTTCTCTCCTTTCTCTTTGCAGGTCCCGCCAAGCAGCGGCTCATCTACCTGTGCATCGACATCTGCTTCCCAAGCAACATCTGCGTCTCCATCTGCTTCTATTACCTCCCGGAGTGAGCGGATCGCGATCCTGACTGCCCCCCTCCCCCCTTCGGTACTTGAACTCAAGCAGGAGAGGCCCCCCCAGGTCCCGCCTGGCGTGCCTCCTCCACACAGCCCCTGGGCCACAGAAGGGCTGCCATGGGCACCCCCAAACAGTGCTGCTGCAGCTCTACTGGTGTACCCGTTTTATTTACAGCCGGGGAGGGGGAGAGGGGGGTTGCTTCTCAGCTGTAACCTGTAAAGAACTGTCTTGGGATAGAGATGGCTGTAGTCAAGAGTCGTTCATTACCATGTGTTACAAATCTTTTTTTAAAAAAAAACAAAAAACACACACACAGATTTTTGTACCGTGTTAGTTACCCAACATTTTAAATAAAAGCAGAAAACGAGGAAACGGAAAGCTGCCGCCCCTCCCATCGTTGCAACTGTGTTTCCTGCCCCCAACTCTTGGTTCTTCTAGGGCGAGGCCTCCCTGGAGCACTCTCAGAAAGGAACTTGGCTCTTTGGTTTATTCCTCACTATCCCCCCCACCCATAAACCTGTGGAAATCTATCCAGTACTGCTCATACAGCTATCACCTTAAGCAGCAATCACTGACCAATTTTCATTTCCCTGACCTTCCAGAAAGTGGCAACCCTGTTCTATTAGAGTAGGATATACTTTATTATATCTGCCCTCCAAAACTGCCGAGGGAAGAACGTTCAGTCTTGCCAAAGTAAAAGCTCTTCTTAGTTTTGGGACTGACTGGTCAATTGATAAACATGGTGGAGATCTTGAAAAGGTGGGAGCTTCCTTCTCCTTTCTTAAGGGGGGGAGGGGGGAAAAACCCGGATTCGACCAGAGCTGATGCTCCGGGCCCAGCCATTCTTGGGGGCGACACGCTCCCACAAAGATCACCACGCGTTTCCCCTTGATCCTGCAAGGGCCTGTGTTTTATTTCAGACATCTTTTATTATCCGTGGCCGACAGGCCACTCAAGGAAAGAGCAAAAGAAACACCCTCCCAGTGCTTCAGACAGGAGGGATTTTTTTTATTTTTTGGTCTCTAGTTGTGGGGAGGGTGTCAAAAACGTACACATGGAACTTCTCCACCAGTTCCTTGGGGTGTCTGTCTGTCAGGATGAGCCTCCCCTCCCCTCCCAGGAGGAGGCGACTGAAGGGAGGAGACACCACCTCCGCTCCCCGTCTCTTCCTGTCGACGGTTGTGTTCTCGCGCTGCGCTTTCACCCCAGGCTGATCTGTCTTGCTCTCGGGGGGCCCCAAAGCTGGGCCGGCGGGTCCCTTCAGCCCAAGACGCTGTCGTTGAAAGCCAGGCAGACGACGGCCTTCTGGTGGCCGCTGTACTCTCGCTTGATCTCCCCGCTCTCCACGCACCACAGCCGGGCCAGATTATCCGAGGAGGCTGGGAAGGGGAAGCCAAACAGAGAGGTTAGGAGGGGGGGGCCCATCTGGCCATATTCTAGCATAGGGAAGGGTAACTGGGATGAAAATAACAACAAAGCTAATCGGCTACATCTTTACACTACAAAGACTAGAACTCTCTTCTAGTCTTGTCATTGTAGTGTAAAGATGTAGCCGATTAGCTCCATTGTTATTTTCATCCCAGTTACCCTTCCCTATGCTAGAATGTAGTAAAAACTTTCTATTTTAATCACACATGGACTCTGAGTCTGAATTATTTAACTCTGGCACTGCTAAGCTATTTTATCTCTGCTAAATACCAATTTTTAAAACCCAACAAAAAGGTTATGGGCCCAGAACGGGCGCTTGAGAGGCAGGAGGGTGTGAGCCGCTGGGGCAGCCCTCTCTCACTAACGCCCTCGGCGTTTCATCTTAGATCCTTCCCCCCTCCAGTCTGCAATCTGGGAACAGGAACGATCTAGCCTGCAGGGCAAATGGAAGAAAAGTGTTCCCTCTAAGCTGAGTTCGTGTGAGCTAGCTCACAGCTTTTTAGCCTCCGGCTCACACGTTTTTTTGTCTCGGCTCAGGAAGGAGGGCTCCAGAGCGAACTAATATATGCAGGAGCCAAATCGCTCGCTCACCACTTGAATGCAAGTAGCTCGCAAAGCCGAATTCTTGCTCACAGGACTCCACAGCTTGGAGGGAGCCTTGGCCTGAAAGAGAGCTGGTTCTCCAAGCTGAGCCTCCCATTCGGCTGCTTGGGGACTCCACTTCCTCCCAGGAGGAGGAGGTTGGACTTATACCCTGCCCTTCACTACCCGGAGGAGGAGGAGATTGGGTTTATACCCTGCCCTTCACTTGGAGAGGTTGGACTTATACCCTGCCCTTCACTACCCGAAGGAGTCTCAGAGCGGCTTACAAACTCCTTTCCCTTCCCCTCCCCGCAACAGACACCCTGTGGGGTAGGTGGGGCTGAGAGAGCTCTTTCGAGAACTGCCCTTGAGAGAACAGTTCTGAGATAACTTGTGACTGGCCCAAGCTCACACCAGCAGCACCTGCAGGTGGAGGCGTGGGGAATCAAACCCGGTGCTCCCGGATTAGAGCCCGCTGCTCTTAACCACCACACCAAACTGGCTCTCCAAGGCCCTCCTTCTTCACTGAGAAGAACAACCATTGGATTTTCTGCTTAAAGCGTCAGAGAGCCCCAGGCTGCACCCCCCCCTCCCCCAGTGTTCAGTATCCTTCCTTCCCGGTCTCCCTCACCGGTGACGATGTACTGGGAGTCTCCTGAGAAGGCACAGTCCCACATCCAGCCGCGGGAGGTCTCCCCGGGGTTGTTGCTCTTGATGCTCAGCTCCGTCATCAGGGAGAAGTTGGACGTCTTCCAGATCTTGCAGGTCTGGTCGGCCGAACAAGTGGCCAGGAGCCTGCAGCGGAGAAAAGGAGGCAGGTCGGAGCAGGAGGCAGCAGGCAAAGGCCCCAAGGTGAGCGCATGGCACGCAGCAAAGCCCTGGTTAGCGCCCTGGTTAGCTCCTGAGTGCCATCGGCGGCGTCTTCTCCCTGCTCCAGGCCACAGCGTGGCATTCCTCAAGCAGTGTTCCCTCTCAGCTGAGTTTAGTGTGAGCTAGCTCACAGTTTCTTAGCCTCTGGCTCACACTTTTTGGTCTTCGCTCAGGAAGGCTGGCCCCAGGGCAAACTAAGTTATGCAGCGGCCAAATCGCTCGCGACTTTAACGCCAGGAGCTCACAAAGTCGAATTGTTGCTCACAAGAATCCACAGCCTAGAGGGCGCATGGCTCCAGAGCAAAGTAATTTATACAGCAGCCGAATCGCTTGCTCACAGCTTTAATGCTGGTAGCTCACAAAGTAGAATTTTTGCTCACAATACTCCACAGCTTAGAGGGAGCATTGTTCCTAAGTATTTGTGTGGCCCTTAAGCACTCAAGGGGTTCCCGTCACACCATCTCTTGTTACGCTGGATGGTAAACACATTCATGCCTTATCTCAGGGTTTGGCTGGGAGCTTCTCTGGTCCACAGGTTCTCAACTTAGCCACAGCCAGCCTTTTCTGCACTCTGGACACTTGGGGACCTTTTGTGATTTGCACGGGACAGGGGCCAACCTTACTGTGCCTGGCTTTGGCCCAACCCCGCCCCAACACTCACAGATGGCGCAGGGCTCTTTTTGTAGAAAAAGCCCAGCAGGAACTCATTAGCATAATAGGCCACACCCAACAGCAGGAACTCATTAGCCTATTGGGCCACACCCCTGACAGCACAGCTCATTAGCACATTAGGACGCACCCCCATGTTACCAGAAGTGTGCTCATCCAGCCACACCCACCTTTTGCTTCTTATTCTGTTTACCTTGTTTATTGTCAAAACCCAGGGCTTTTTTTTGGTAGCAGGAACTCCTTTGCATGTTAGGCCACACACCCCTAATGTAGCCAATCCTAATGAGTTCCTGCTGTTGGGTGTGGCCTAATATGCTAATGAGTTCCTGCAGGGCGTGGCCAACTTGGGAGCCAGCCGGAACTCCGTTCCTGTGCGTTCCCGCCCAAGAATAGCCCTGCAGATGGCTACACACTGCAGGGGAAAGTAGCCAAGTTGTCCCTCGGGCTCCTGCCTTGCTGATCTCGTCAAGGAACTCCTGCTAAGCATCGGGAGCCATATTTTAAGCATCATTACCCCGAAAACACAGGAGTTGGGGGTAGATCAGCGCCCCTCACAAGACAGCCCCTGCAGCCTAAAGGTGTCTCCCCCACCAGTGTTCGCTCTAAGCTGAGTTAGTGTGAGCCAACTCAGTTTTTTTAGCCTCTGGCTCACACATTTTTTGTCTTGGCTCAGGGAGGATGAGCTCCAGAGCCAACTGATTCATGCAGCAGGCAAACTTTAATGCCAGAAGAAGAGGAGGAGGAGGAGATTGGGTTTATACCCAGCCTTTCACTACCCAAAGGTGTCTCGGAGCAGCTTACAATCTCCTTTCCCTTCCCCTCCCCACAACAGACACCCTGTGAGCAATGCTATGGAGTCTTGTGAGCAAAAATTCTACTTTGTGAGCTACTGGCATTAAAGTTTTGAGCGAACGATTTGGCCGTTGCATGAATTAGTTTGCTCTGGTGCCCTCCTTCCTGAGCTAAGACAAACATCTGTGAGCTAGAGGCTAAAAAACTGTGAGCTAGCTCACACTAACTGCCTGTGAGGTAGGTGGGGCTGAGAGAGCTCTGACAGAAACTGCTCTTTTTCAAGAACAGCTGTGCTAGAACTACGGCTCGCCCAAGGTCATCCAGCAGCTGCAAGTGGAGGAGTGGGGGAATCAAACCCAGTTCTCCCAGATTAGAGTCTGCACACTTAACCACTGCACCCAACTGGCTCACAAAGTAGGATTTTTGCTCACAGGACTCCATAGCTTAGAGGGAGCACTCCCCCCTCCCCACATCTCCAAGGAGAACGGAACTGCAGGATTGCTGAGGCTCAGTCGGAGCACCGGCGGCAGGTCTGGGGCCCACCTGGGCCCCAGGTATTCAGCTCGAAGATCTCCCAGGTCCTTGGGTTTAGTGAACAGAAAAGATTTCCAAAAGTCCGCTCACGTGGAGTCTGGGCTGAACTTGCACTGGAGCGCGTAACGGTTGTGGGCGGGGATCTTCGTCTTCGGGATGAGCTGGGTCACCTCGTCTCCGATGCCCCCTGTTAGGTTCCACACGTAACAGTTGCCCTGCAAGGGGGGAGGAGAGCAAACAGACGGTTTCGGCCTCATGAGCTCTCTCGGTTCTTCTACCGATGGCTCGCAAAGTCCGGTCCTCCCCCTGAATTCTCCCGAGTGGAGGCAGGCTGCAAAGCGAGAGGCCGGCCTCCCAGGATCACGCGGGAGTTCGCTCACCGAGCTGTTGACGGCGGCCATGTAGCTGGCGTCGGGGTCGATGTGAACCGAGTTGATCGAGACTTCCGGTTCCGGGATGAGCTGCTCGTTGTGGTCGGTCTTCAGGTCCCAGATGTGAATGGCTCCACTCTGATCCCCCACGATAAGTTCGGCCTAGCAGGAGAGGGGGCAAGTCAGGGGCCCGTCCTGTCCAGCCCACGTCCCGAGGAGCCGCCAGGAAGGGGCGGGGCTGGGAAGAGCTCAGGATACCTGGTTTGGGTGCAGGCAGACGCAGTTGATGGGCGCGTTCACTTGGAAGATGCGCTGGCACTGGAGGTTGCGGGACCTGGAAGAGGAACAGACACGGATGGTGACTGGGGGGGGGGGACGACAATCGCCCTCACCTGTGCATGTCTTCTTGTGCTCCTGGAAACCCCAGAGCCTCCCGCAGCAGCCAGTGCTCCCTCTAAGCTGTGGAGTCTCGTGAGCAAAAATTCTACTTTGTGAGCTGCTGGCATTAAAGCTGTGAGCGGGCAATTGGGCTGCTGCATAAATCAGTTTGCTCTGGAGCCCTCCTTCCTGAGCCGAGACAAAAAATGTGCGATCCGGAGGCTAAAAAAACTGAGCAAGCTCACACTAACTCAGTTTAGAGGAAACACTGCATCACCCAGGATTAGGCCTCCTGCCCACGTCATAAATCCAGTGCTATTCTGAAACCTTTCACAGGAGATGTTCCAGGCAAATCCCTGGATCTGTCAGTTCCTCATAAAAAAAGAAGAAGAAGAGGTTGGATTTATACCCCGCTCTTCGCTACCCGAAGGAGTCTCAGAGCGGCTCACAATCTCCTTTCCCTTCCCCTCCCCACAACAGACACCCTGGGAGGGTGGTGGGGCTGAGAGAGCTCTTGTGAAGACTGTTCTTAAGAGAACAGCTCTGAGAGAACTTGTGACTGACCCACGGTCACACCAGTAGCTGCACGTGGAGGAGTGGGGAATCAAACCCGGTTCTCTCAGATTAGAGTCCGCCGCCCTTAACCACTACACCAAACTAGGCAGAATAAGGGGAACCTTCTAATAAACACTCAAAAGCTGAGGCATTTCTAGGGTAGCCTTTCACAGATCCGCAAGAATCTTCCCTACAGTAGCCTTTTCTCCTTCATTCTTCTGACCCTTTTTTTTTTATTAAAACACGCGCACAGCAAGAGCAAAAAGTTTGCTTTACAAAGAAATCAGAATTCAAACGGCCGGATCTGAAGCACCAAACAGAGAAGACGACGGCAGTAGTCCTTGCAAAGAAGTGAAATCCTCCTGAACTCACTGGGACCGACTTCTGAACAAACAGACCCAAAAGTTAGGCTGCCAAATCTCCATGTCGGGGTTGGGAGTTCGAACCTAGTCTCTTTCCGTTCCTTAGAGGGCAGGGACATCCAGGCCAGACTGAAGTGACCCTTGGCCTTTTGTCAAAACTACTAGATGGCCTGGCTTCTCACGCAAACCTCTGCCAGTTTGGTGTAGTGGTTAGGAGCGTGGACTCTAATCTGGGAGAACCGGGTTTGATTCCCAACTCCTCCTCCACATGCAGCTGCTGGTGTGACCTTGGGCCAGTCACAAGTTCTCTCAGAGCTGTTCTCTAAAGAGCAGTTTTCTCAGAGCTCTCTCAGCCCCACCTACCTCACAGGGTGTCTGCTGTGGGGAGGGGAAGGGAAAGGAGATTGTAAGCCGCTCTGAGACTCAGAGTGAAGCGCAGGGTATAAATCCAATCTCTTCTTTTTCATCTTCTTCTCTGCCACTGAATAGACTCTAATCTGGAGAAGTGAGTTTGATTCCCCGCTCCTCCACATGCGGCCAGCTGGGTGACCTTGGGTCAGTCACAAGTCCTTTCAGAGCTGTTCTCTCAAGGGCAGTTCTCTCAGAGCTCTCTCAGCCCCACCTGCCTCACAGGGTGTCTATTGTGGGGAGGGCAAGGGAATGGGGTTTGTAAGCCGCTCTGAGACTCCTTTGGGTAGTGAAGGGCGGGGTATAAATCCAATCTCTTCTTCTTCTTCTTTTACCCCACAGGGTGTCTGTTGTGGGGAGGGGAAGGGAAAGGAGTTTGTAAGCCGCTCTGAGATTCCCTTGGGTAGTGAAGGGCGAGTATAAATCCAATCTCTTCTTCTTCTTTTACCTCACAGGGTGCCTGTTGTGGGGAGGGGAAGGGAAAGGAGTTTGTAAGCCGCTCTGAGACACCTTTGGGTAGTGAAGGGCGGGGTATAAATCCAATCTCTTCTTCTTCTTTTACCCCACAGGGTGTCTGTTGTGGGGAGGGGGAGGGAAAGGAGTTTGTAAGCCGCTCTGAGGCACCTTTGGGTAGTGAAGGGCGGGGTATAAATCCAATCTCCTCTTCTTCGATGCTGGCTTGGGGAGAGAGTGGCCTGGAGGGCCCCCGGGGTTTGTGTCACAGTCCTTTCCAAGTCCCCAAAAGCTCCCCTCCCCGCCCTTAGCAAGAGCCAAAGAGAGTCACCTGAGGTCCCAGATCCGGGCCATGCAGTCCTCGCCCCCCGTGTACATCCAGCGGCCGTCCTCGTGGAACCCCACAGAGGTTATGTTCTTGCTCACGCCGTCGTAGTTGATCACTGGGTTGGGGTTGTTGGAGTTCAGGTCATACATCCGAATGTGCTGGTAGCCTGGAGGAAAGAGAGACGTGGGCGAGAAAGGTCTCCGGGCCGGTCGGAACCATTGGGACAACCCGACCGAATCTTGTGGCATGTGAAATGAATTCATGGTGGCAGGGACTTCCTTGGCCCCAAAGTCTGCTGCATCTCACCGAGTCTTACTTAGAACACAACAGGGTTGTTCTTGTGCAGACTCTAATCTGGGAGAACCAAGTTTGATTCCCCACTCCTCCACATGCAGCTGCTGGTGTGACCTTGGGTCAGTCCCAAGTTCTCTCAGAGCTGTTCTCTCAAGGGCAGTCCTCAAAAGAGCTCTCTCAGCCCCACCTGCCTCACAGGGTGTCTGTTGTGGGGAGGGGAAGGGAAAGGAGTTTGTAAGCCCCTCTGAGACTCCTTTGGGTAATGAAGGGCGGGGTATAAATCCAGTCTCTTCTTCTTCTTTATGCATGGGGCTCATTTAATCATTCTGTTATTCCATTTTGTATGGGTCTTTGCTGTGAGACTTTGGGCTGAAAGGGCTGGCTAAAAATCCTCTGAACCAAGAGTTGTCAATATGGAAGCTGACGTTGCGGGCTGGCCTCCATCTAGCCATCTGCGTTCGCTCCACTTACTCCCCCCCCCCTTTGATGAATTTTTAGTGCCACGGCTTTAGCTGGCTTTTAAAGCTCTTTTAAGTGATTGATCTATCATCTCCCGTGCTGCTTTTCATCTTGCTGAACGTGGTATTTTAGCACAGATGCTTGTTTTAGTCTACTATTGATGTTTCAAAATGTGGGGAAGGAACAAAAAGATTGATTGCTTTAAAAGCCTGCTGGAATAATGGAAGCAGCAAAAAAATATGGGGGTGGGGGTGGGCACAAAAATCAAACAAATCAAAAGGAATTGCATCCTGCAAGACTGAAAAACCAGGAAAGAATAAGAGAAGAGATTGGATTTCTACCCCGCCCTTCACTACCCGAAGGAGTCTCAGAGGGGCTTACAAACTCCTTTCCCTTCCCCTCCCCACAACAGACACTCTGTGAGGTAGGTGGGGCTGAGAGAGCTCTTTTGAGGACTGCTCCTGAGAGAACAGCTCTGACAGAACTATGGCTTGCCCAGGGTCATCCAGCAGCTGTGAGTGGAGGAGGGGGGAATCACACCCGGTTCTCCCAGATTAGAGTCCGCGCACTTAACCACTACACCGAACTGGCTTATTGTCACGTCTGGGCCTGGGTCAGCAAGGGCTCTTCTCCCGGGTTACAATGGCAAGAGATGGGGATGCATCTAGGTAGGTTCCTGCTTTTAAGGTCTCCTGAGATGGACCTTAATTTTGAAAGCAGGTGCAGAGAGAGCCAGATGTGGCATTCAGGCCACGAAGTCTGCCAACCCCTGATCTGGTGACCCAGGCCACAATCTTTTATATATTATATACCCTACCCCTAAACAACACTCTGCCTTAGTCCCAGACTTTGTGAGCCATTCTGGGAGCCAGCGCATCCTCTGTCTAACTCCTCAAGAGCCAGTTTGGTGTAGTGGTTAAGAGCGGCGGACTCTCATCCGGGAGAACCGGGTTTGATTCCCCACTCCTCCTCCACATGCAGCCAGCTGAGTGACCTTGGGTCAGTCACAAGTTCTCTCAGAGCTGTTCTCTCAAGAGCAGCTCTCTCTCAGAGCTCTCTCAGCCCCACCTACCTCACAGGGGGTCTGCCATGGGGAGGGGAAGGGAAAGGAGATCGTAAGCCGCTCTGAGACTAGAAATGAAGGGCGGGCTATACATCCAGCTCTTCTTCTTCAGCCATGGAATTAACACAGGAGAGGATGTTTCTTGGGCTTTGGGACACCTCTGTCCAGGTTTTCCACCTCCAAGTGCCCTCCTGGAACAGTGCTGAGAGTTCTGCATTTGAGGAGCCCCCCTCATGCCCTCCCCCCGCTGCCCTGGAGGCCTGTGCTACAAGCCCTGCTGGAGGCAGCATCCCCCAACACACACACACACCCGGCACCCCCTTCCTACCTGCAGCGGCTACCATGCTGCGGTCCGGCGTGATCTCCAGGGCATTCACCTGCTGGATGCTCCGGTTAAGGAAGTGTTGGTTGGCGATGGCTCAAAAAAGGCAGGCAAAACTGGGCGCACACACACACTCCCCAACTCCCCTGGCCTGGTTTTGCCGGCCAGAAGGATACGGAGTCCTGGTGCTGGACCGTCCGGGTGCATATCCCGCTGTGGGCCTGCCAGAACCGGACGGTGTGGTCGTAGCCGGCAGTGGCCAAGATGACCGGGTCGCTGCCCACGGTGCCCTGGGCCGTGTTCATGGCTCGCTTTTCTAAGGGGACAAGAGGGCAGAGTTTCAGTCCCAAAAGTCAACGGTTTGCAATGGGTGTACCGGGGCTTTAGAGAAAGTCATTTCCCTCCGTTCTGGGTCCGTGGAAGTCTTTGGGGGAGAGTCAGCAAGATCAACAACCTCAGATATGCAGACGATACGACTCTAATGGCAGAAAGTGAAGAGGACCTAAAGAGCCTCTTGCTCAAGATAAAAGAGGAGAGCGCAAAAGTTGGCTTGGAACCCAACATAAAAAAACCTAAGATCATGGCATCCGGCTCCATCACTCCTTGGCAAACAGAAGGGGAAGTCATGGAAGCAGCGACAGACTTCATGTTCCTGGGATCCAAGATCACTGCAGACGGTGACAGCAGCCATGAAATTAGAAGATGCCTGCTCCTTGCGAGGAAAGCGATGGCAAACCTAGACAGCATAATAAAAAGTAGAGACGTCACCCTGCCAACAAAAGTCCGTATGGCCAAAGCAATGGTATTCCCTGTAGTCGCGCATGGCTGTGAGAGTTGGACCATAATGAAGGCCGAGCGCCAAAGAATAGATGCTTTTGAATTATGGTGCTGGAGAAGACTCTTGAGAGTCCCTTGGACTGCAAGGCGATCAGATCAGTCAATCCTAAAAGAAATCAACCCTGACTGTTCCCTGGAACGCCAGATAATGAAACTGAAGCTAAAATACTTTGGCCACTAAATGAGAAGGGAGAACTCATTGGAGAAGACCCTGATGCTGGGAAAGATTGAAAGTCAAAGACAGGGTTTAGCATAGGAAAAGGAGTACAACAAAGATGTATATTGTCACCTTGCTTATTTAATTTATATGCAGAGTACATCATGCGAAATGCTGGCCTGGATGAATCACAAGCCGAAATTAAGATTGCTGGGGAAAAGATCAACAACCTCAGATATGCAGACGATACGACTCTAATGGCAGAAAGTGAAGAGGACCTAAAGAGCCTCTTGCTCAAGATAAAAGAGGAGAGCGCAAAAGTTGGCTTGGAACCCAACATAAAAAAACCTAAGATCATGGCATCCGGCTCCATCACTCCTTGGCAAACAGAAGGGGAAGTCATGGAAGCAGCGAAGGCTCAACATCAAAAAAACTAAGATCATGGTATCCGGCCCCATCACTCCTTGGCAAATCAAAGGGGAAGTCGTGGAAGTAGTGACAGACTTCACGTTTCTGGGATCCCAGATCACCGCAGACAGTGATTGCAGCCATGAAATTAAAAGACGCCTGCTCCTTGGGAGAAAAGCGATGGCGAACCTAAACAGCATGATAAAAAGTAGAGACATCACCCTGCCAACAAAAGTCCGCGTGGTCGAAGCAATGGTATTCCCAGTAGTCACGTATGGCTGCGAGAGTTGGACTATAGGGAAGGCCGAGCGCCGAAGAATAGATTCTTTTGAACTATGGTGCTGGAGAAGACTCTTGAGAGTCCCTTGGACTGCAAGAAGATCAAATCAGTCAATCCTAAAAGAAATCAACCTTGACTGTTCCCTGGAAGGCCAGATACTGAAACTGAAGCTCAAATACTGTGGCCACCCAATGAGAAGGGAGCCCTCACTGGAGAAGACCCCGATGCTGGGAAAGATTGAAGGTCAAAGGAGAAGGGGATGGCAAAGGATGAGATGGTTAGACAGTGTCATAGATGCAACTAACATGAAGTTGAGCCAACTTCAGAGGACGGCGGAAGACAGGAGGGCCTGGCGTGATCTGGTCCATGGGGTCGCGAAGAGTCGGACTCGACTGTGCGACTGAACAAGAACAACAACAGCAGCATAGCTCTGTGCCTGAGAGGCAGGGTTGGGGGAGGCAGATCCGAGCCTCACCAAATGCCCTGGATTCACTGTGAGACCCCGGGCTCTTCCCATCTCTAGAATGGGCGTAGCTCTGAGACCAACCTCACAGGGCTGTTGCAGACACAAACAGGGTCCAGACTTAATAAAAAGGCCCCCTAAGACATGTTAAGTGGCGAGATCCACTGAACCCTGCGTCACTTGACAGCGGGCAACTGTAAGTGGAGGGGGCCATTTATCCCAGGACACAAATCAAATGCGGGGCACTTCCCCCTCCACTCTCCGCCTTTACAAACAAACCATAAGAAGGTCTGACATGTAGTCCACAGCAAAAGGAGAGCTTCAATGTTATTTTGACAGAAGTTGGGAAGATATAGTTGGGACAAGAGCAGGGCTATTTTGGGGCAGGAACGCACAGGAACGGAGTTCCGGCTGACTCCCGAGTTGGCCACACCCAGCAGGAACTCATTAGCATAATAGGCGACACCCAACAGCAGAAACTCATGAGGATTGGCTACATTAGGGGTGTGTGGCCTAACATGCAAAGGAGTTTAAAAAGGTCCTGGGTTTTGACAACAAACAAGGTAAACAGAATAAGAAGGGAAAGGTGAGTGTGGCTGGATGACCACACTTCTGGTAACATGGAGGTGTGGCCTAATGTGCTAATGAGCTGTGCTGTCAGGGGTGTGGCCTAATATGCTAATGAGTTCCTGCTGTTGGGTGTGGCCTATTATGCTAATGAGTTCCTGCTGGGCTTTTTCTACAAAAAGAGCCCTGGACAATTGTAAACATAGATAAAACCAGTTTAAAACAATCCGCAATCATAATAAAGATAAATAGATATAAATAGTTAAAGATGGCGGTACAATCATATCAGTACGTTCTACAATCTGCCATGTTTCTCAGCTCCTTAATCGTTATATGCAGCAGACGCTGGCACGAGCTGAAAACGATGAAAACCAGGGAACGGGCTCTAATAATGTTAATGACGGTACGCTTGGTGGTGGCGGTGGCTCCTTAACCCAAGGCCTGGTGGAAGAGCTCCGTCTTGCAGGCCCTGCGGAACGACATTAAGTCCCATAGGGCCCTGATCTCCTCTGGGAGCTCATTCCACCAGAGTGGAGCCGCCACTGAAAAGGCCCTGGCCCTAGTTGTGGCCAGTCTAGCCGGTCTTTGTGTTGTCTTTTTACATTAATCTACACAAGTGGTTAAGACGCTGAACTGCAGGCTGTGGAAGGTCGGTAGTTCAGCAGTTTGAGACCCGAGTGTGCCGCATGACAGAGTGAGCTCTCATCTCTAGTTCCAGCTCCTGCCAACCTAGCAGTTCAAAAGCAAGAAATTGCAAGTAGATAAATAAGTACCACTTCAGTGGGAAGGTAACAGTGTTCCGTGCGCCTCAGTGTTTAGTCATGCCGGCCACATGACCACGGTGTCTTTGGACAGCGCTGGCTCTTCGGCTTTGAAACAGAGATGAGCACTGCAACCCTAGAGTCGGATTCAACTGGCTTTCAAGCAAGGGAACCTTTACCTTTACCCAGGTGTAAGTCTGTCCCCTGCTACCTGCACAAATCTGGAATGAACGAACAGAGGAGAGGGTGCTAACCAACGCTCCCTCTAAGTTGTGGAGTCCTGTGAGCAAAAATTCTACTTCATGAGCTACTGGCATCAAAGTTGTGGGCAAGCGATTTGGCTGCTCCGTAAATTAGTTTGCTCTGGAGCCATCCTTCCTGAGCGAAAGCAAGAATGTGTGAGCTGGAGGCTAGAAAACTGTGAGCTAGCTCACACTCATTCAGCTTAGAGGGAACACTGGTGCAAACGATGACCTGCTCCCAAAGTACCAAACTAAGACATTTCTTTTAGGAACTCCATCACGTGCTTTAGGAGAAGGGGGTAGACCTGGGAAGGCACCCAGGATCCCCCCCAGCTCCTTTCCCGTTTGCATGACTTATGCAACGCCCCCCCCCTTGCAAATGCTTCCCAGAACACAACCTAAACCCCGGCCTGGGGGGGGGGGGCGTGATTGCCTGCATCAGCAAACAGATGCAAGGCAAGAGAAATTTATTTGACTGTCAAAAGCAACTGCCAATAGCAGCACTGTGCAGGAGACATAAAATGCCATGCAAAAGATCACAGTGGCAGCAAAAGCAACATTTTTGGCTGCAAAGACAGGAAGACACATAATCCGCCCCCCCAGGTCCTCCTCTATGGGGGGAGGGGGGTTCCCCCACCCTCAGTCATTGGGGGGTCTCTAAACTGGGGGGAAGGGCAACTCACCACCAGAAACAGGGAGCAAGAAACGAGGCGCATGCGCATTCCAGCCGGGGGGGGGGACTCAACGTGCGCTTGCGCCGTTGGAATCCTCTCCAGGTCTGGCCGGTCTATGCTCTCCCTCCGTCCCTCTCCGCGCGGAGCGAGAGCGCCACAGCGCTCCCTGCCGGTGTGGAGGAGGAAGAGCGCGCCTGCCAAAGCGAAGCATGCGCGCTGCGTCCTGCTTCTTTTCCTTTCGTAACCCTTATCCTGGTTAGGCTCGAATTTAGGGCAATGAAAGGGCCTTTTCGGCAGATAACGGGGGAAGCGCCCGGGCGGAGCGGGGTTTGCATTGCGTGCAGCGGAGGCGTCAGAAATGCAGCCTTGTTTGGGCTGATGTTGCAAAAACTCTTGGGGGCAGGTTGCAGGCGGGGGTGCTGCTGGTGCAGAGGCGCTTTTTGCAAAGCGCACCGCCGGTGCCAAGCTGCAGGGGGTGGGAGCGCCCAAGGGGATCCACGCTGATTAGCCCTCGGGGGAGGGAGTCCGATGTGGGACACCCTCGCTGCTCCCGGGGGAAGATCGTAATGGAGCCTCCACGTCCAGGGGCAGTCCACCTCTGAGTCACCCCGGGGGTGGAGAAAGAGACCTCCTCGGCCGGCGCCTTCCCACCAGCTACTCGCTGCAGGGCGGAGCGCTCCGGTCGCTGGCTTTGTGCATGCCACAGAGCGCTCCGTGCCACGGTGCAAGCCTTCCGCATCGCCCTCCTCCCGCCCGGGCCGCCGCCGCCGCCGCCAAGGGCGGGGCGGGCGCTGCAGAGAGAGCCGCGGCTGCTCCGAGGCGCACCTGGGCCGGCCAGGTAGGAGGGCACCGCAGTCCGGGGGTGGCATTTGCGCGTGCCCGCCGGCATCCTCTGGGCGGGGAGGGAGGCGTGCTGGGCGCGGTGCCTGCGTGCCCGGAGGGGCTCCGGGTGAGTAGGGGGAGAGAGCATCTCAGCTCGGGGGGGGGGCATTCGGTGGGCAGGGAAAGGTGCCCAGGTGCGGCTCCGAAAGCCCCCCTCCCTTGTCTCCTGGAGATGGGCAGTGTGTGTGTGTGCGGGGGGTGCTGGGTCCTTTCCTGTGCCCGCCCTGCAGTCAGCAAACCCCGGTGCAAAAGGGTGGATAATATTATAGAAAAGGGTGACCCCCCCAAAAAAAAAACCCTCCACCAGCAAGGTCTGCTGAGGTGGCTTGACTTCTCCATGCCTGCAGCCTCCAAGCTGAGAGAAAGTCTCCATTGCCAATGGAAACCGGAGTCAAGCCGGTTTCACTGTCACGTGCCCCTGCCCACAAGGCGCTGCCCTACTGTAAGGGGTGGGGTGGGGGAGCAAGGAAGGACCTTGACCCGCAGTTGGGAGGGAGCCTCCCTCTAACTACCAAACCCAGACCACACTGGCGAAGAACTGTGCACTTAGGTGCCCTTGAACGTGGCCTTTGGAGTGGCGCTGGGTTCTTCCTTTGAGGCAGTGGTCGTGGGCAATGTTCCCTCTAAGATGAGTTAGTGTGAGCTAGCTCACAGGTTTTTAGCCTCCAGCTCACACATTTTTTGGCTTCGCTCAGGAAGGAGGGCCCCAGAGCAGACTAATGTATGCAGCAGCCAGATTGCTCGCTCAAACCTTTAATGCCAGTAGCACGCAAAGCAGAATTTTTGCTCACAGGACTCCACAGCTTAGAGGGCGCATTGGTTGTGGTTACAGGGTGCATAAGTGTGCGGCTGCGTGTTTGCAGAGTGGGACGTGCTCTCCGGGCCTGGATTTCTGTGGACACAGCCTAGCGGGCGAAGGCTCCAGATAAAGCCTTCCCTTTCTAAGCCGGCCTTTGCTCTCCTGTGTTTGCTCACCTTGCGAGGTCGGCCCCGACGGCCTCTGTGCAGAGTGGATTCTGGCCTGGCTGCGGTTTGCTCTGGGTTCGGGAGGCGCCCCATCAACATTTGCCTTTTGTTCCTTTTTTTGTCTTGTGGGAGACGGGAACTCAGAAGGATGAACCCCGCCGGGCGTCTGTCCGGCAGCCCGCAGAACAGAGGTACCATCTTCTCACCAGGCAGGCTTTTTTTTGGGGGGGGGGACTTCTCGGGAGGTGGTCAGTGTTCCCTCTAAGCTGAGCTAGTGTGAGCTAGCTCACAGTATTTTTAGCCTCCGGCTCACACATTTTTGTCTCGGCTCAGGAAGGAGGGCTCCAGAACCAACTGATTTATGTAGTAGCCAAACTTGCTCTCGCTAACAACTTCAATACCGGTCGCTCACAAAGTAGACTTTTTGCTCACAAGACTCCAAGGCTTAGAGGGAGGCATTAGAGGTGATTGTAGCAGGCCTGGCCAGACTCATGAAGACGGGGAAGGCTTCTGTGCGAGGAACAGGCCGTCTCGGCTCCTGGATAAATGGCTTCTGCCCGTCTCTGGGACACCGGCCTGCTGCTCAGCCACCCGGCCTCCGTCCTGAGCTTATTGCTGCATCCCATAATAAGGCGGAAGCCAGCCAGGGCTTAGCTAGAATCCGTTTTCCCTGCTGGGTGTCCCTGCGCTGTGTGAAGAGAGGTCATTTGACCACGTCCATCCGAAGCATGCCTTTCCTGCTTAGTAGCCACAAAGTCATTTGGGCTGGGGATGGGGGCAGTGTTCCCTCTAAGCTGAATTAGTGTGAGCTAGCTCACAGTTTTTTAGCCTCTGGCTCACATATTTTTGTCTCAGCTCAGGAAGGATGGCTCCAGAGCAAACTAATTTATGCAGTAGCCAAATCACTCGCTCACGAATTTAATGCCAGTAGCTCACAAAGTAGAATGTTTGCTCACAAGACTCCACAGCTTAGAGGGAACATTGGGTGGGGGGGAAGGTTTCCCTGCAGGCAGGGTCTCCCCAGGCACGCCGGCCAGTGGCCCTGCACCAAAGGCAGCCGGGCAAGGCAGCCTTCGGTTGCTTTCTGCAGAGCTGCTGAGCAGAAAAGCACAAATGAATCATCGTGTTCGTCGTTCGGGAGACGACTGGTGTGCAGCTTGGCAAAATGCTGCTTGCTGAAAAGGAAAAAAAAAGGGCTCCTTTGGGTGTTCCTTGGGCTTGCCGGTCGAGGTTTAAGAGAGCTGCCTGGGCGGTCTTCGGAGGGAGACGCTCTGTGTCCCCGTGTCCTTTGGACTCCTTAGAATCTGCTGGTACCGATGCAGCCATATAAGCCTATAAGGAAGGCCGAGCGCCGAAGAATAGATTCTTTTGAACTCTCGTGCCGGAGAAGACTCTTGAGAGTCCCTTGGACTGCAAGGAGATCAAATCAGTCAATCCTCAAAGAAATCAACCCTGACTGTTCCCTGGAAAGGCCAGATAATGAAACTGAAGCTCAAATACTTTGGCCACCAAATGAGAAGGGAGCACTCACTGGAGAAGACCCTTGCTGGGAAAGACTGAAGGTCAAAGAAGACGGGGACGGCAAAGGATGAGATGGTTAGACAGTGTCATCGATGCAACGAACATGAAATTGAGCCAACTTCAGAGGACGGCGGAAGACAGGAGGGCCTGGCGGGAGCTGGTCCATGGGGTCGCAAAGAGTTGGACTCAACTGTGCGACTGAACAACAACAACAACCGATGCAGCCGAGCCCCCCCCCCAGCTTCTGCCTGCAAAGGTGCTGCCCAAATGGGCTTTAAACGCATCTGCGGTTTCCACACAGAAGCGCAGGCCCCAAAGCGGCTTGCGCTGGGAACTGACACTTGCCAGACCGAGAAACTGATTTCTCTCTGGCAGCCCCTGCTGATGGCTCCCCAGGCCCCAGCACACCCACACCGGGCCCCTTCGGCCTCCATGGCTAACAGTCAGTGGTAGCTCTCTCCACCATGTGTCTTGTCCAGTCCCCTGCTAAAGCAGCCTGCCAGTCTGGTGGCAGGGAGTTCCACAAGCCAGCTACCTGTTTTGTGTGTGTGAAAAAGCAAGACTACCTTAGGTCTCTCTTGAGCCCGCAAAGAGTCTGGCTTAACCCACTGACCTTTCTGATCTGGTGTTCGTGCAGCTTACAGCCGCAAACTGCCTTGCTTTCGTTTTCGAGCACAGTTGACTCTGCGTTCTGTTGCGTGGAGTGAACTGCTGCTACTGCTCTCCCGTAAGACCCCTTGGCAAATTGCTTTTCTTTAGAGAGCCAGTTTGGTGTGGTTGCAGTGTTCCCTCTAAGCTGAGTTAGTGTGAGCTAGCTCACAGTTTTTTAGCCTCCGACTCACACCTTTTTGTCTTGGCTCAGGAAGGATGGCTCCAGAGCAAACTAGTTTATGCAGCAGCCAAATCGCTCGCTCGCAACTTTAAGGCCAGTAGCTCACAAGACTCCACAGTTTAGAGGGAGCATTGGTTAGGAGTGCGGACTCTAATCTGGGAGAACCGGGTTTGATTCCCCGCTCCTCCACTTGCAGCTGCTGGATGACCTTGGGCAAGCCATAGTTTTGACAAGAGCTGTCCTTGAAAAAGAGCTGTTTCTGTCAGAGCTCTCTCAGCCCCGCCGACCTCCCAGGGTGTCTGTTGTGGGGAGGGGGAGGGGAAGGAGATTGTAAGCCGCTCTGAGACACCTTTGGGTAGTGAAGGGCGGGGTATAAATCCAATCTCTTCTCTTCTTCTTAAATCTAATGACTAGGCTGTGGGTTGCAGGGCTGCTGTTTGGGGCGTTTTTGCACAGTGCTTGGTCAGGAGAGGGTCCCCTAGCCGTCTCCCAGGGGGTCTAAGAATCTCCCAGCTCCCTCAACAGCTTCCCAGAGGTCTGTGGGATAAAGGGATTGCAGCAAAACTGATATAAACCACCCTATAAGTTTATGGGGCAGAGACACCACCTTCAGCCTGCCGGGCAGCTGGGGCTTGGCCGTGGCTACAAACTTTGCTATAAAAACGTGGGGTTTTCACGCCCATTAAGGAAATCAATTGATGCTTCAGAGTGGCAGAAAAACCTGTTCCTGATACTGTCCCCACCCCGCCACAATCTCTGCATTGTTCCATGGGAGGGTAACTCTAGATGTCTTAATTCTGCAGTCCTTTATTTCCTTGTTGACGGCGAGGTGGAAACGGCACCCTTGGGCTCG